AGAGAGCCTTTAATTTTGTTGAGTAGTGTATTGGTATTGTAAATTAGAGTGCATGTATAATTATTAAACATATATATATGTGTCTATTGATATCGTGATACATATATGTCTAGTTATTAATCGAGTGTGAGTGTTCGCGATTTTACCGGGAAGTGATATCTGTTGACAGTTTATATGCGCCGCGAAATGAGGTTAGGAGTGCATGTACGTGGCTGTTACTGCGATCGCGAAAATTTCTCTAAGTCCGTTGTTCTTTTGATTTCCTCTTGATTGGTTTTCTGACTCAAGTTTAGAGTCACAGTACCATGACTACCATGCAAAAGTCCGTTGTTCGTTAAGTTCTTAAAACCATCGCGGTCGGGAGTGCGTTATTAAAACCATCTCTTTGTGTGCATTCCGAAAATCATCTTCATTGGTACTTATTCGTAAAACCCGACAGTCACGTATAGTCAATCAATAAAAGGTTGCAACACTTTTTAATTCGATGGTTTTCGGAACGCGCAAAAATTCTGACAGAACAGACCACTATCTCTGAACGCCTATAGTCAGCGGTTATGATAGGTTACGATGACTGTCAAAGTGATGCAGAATCATCTTGTACACGTTGAAATAAAAAAATGTATTTGTGCGCAGCAGAAAATTCGTAAGATACCCTTCGAATACCATAAAATATATCGTGGTAAGTAATAATAAAGTAAACGCTAACTTTGTTTTATAAATTTATTTATATTTTCAAAAATAACATATTTATTATTATTAAAAATTCAAAAATTAAAAATAATAATATAACATAATATTATTCTAGCGAGCCTGTAATATCAAAGCAAGTGGAAGAACACTTTACTATAAAATAATGTAAAAATAAAAGAATAAAAATATAATAATATACTAAATTACATTATAATAATATAATTACGTATATGATTATATTAGTATATTAGTGTTACTCAGATGTCGACAGGAAGCAGATATAGTGACGGCGAGGTGGTGGTAATTATATGAAAAATGCCACCCAAAAGTATTTCGAATGATCTCCGCAATAATATACTGAAAAGTACCACAGCATGCGCCACGCTTTCCTTCCCAATGTTCAGGACTCGGATCCATTCGCTCTAACATATCGAAGGCTTTAGCAGCATACTAGAATTCGCCTATAAAGTAATAAAATAATAAAAATATAATAAAACACTTATTAAATAATAATAATTGATATAAATAACTTTAATATACTGTTTTATTCAGAATATCTTACCAAAGACGAGTGTTGCTCAGGTGCCGACAGGAAGCAGATATAGTGACGGCGAGGTGGTGGTAATTATATAAGAAATTCCGTCCAAAAGTATTTCGAATGGCTTTCACCTTGTTTATTTTCTACATTCATTCAAGATTCTTTCTTTGATTTATTCTTTCCATTCATTACGAGTTGCTCATGTTGCAATCATTCAATGTCATTTATTTATTCTCATATCAACCATAGAAGTTCAACTAACAATAAACTATTAACACATTATTGTTTATTACACCTTATTGTTTATTGTTAACCAGCGGGTGGAGGGCGTCAGCGGCGATTTGGCGGCTCTACGACCTGACCTCGTGGTTAGGCACGAGCCCTCCAAAAGTGTCGTCATATGCGACGTCACGGTACCCTTTGAAAACAGGTGGACTGCATTCGAAGAGGCCAGGACGAGAAAACTAGATAAATACAACGTCCTGGCCGAAGAGTTGCAGCGACAAGGGTATCGTGTCGTCGTGACGGCCTTCGTCGTCGCCGGCCTCGGCTCGTGGGATCCGAGAAATGAGGCGGTGTTGAGACTGCTGAGAGTTACGGCCCAATACGCCTCAATGATGCTTTTCATCGTCTCGGAAACCATTTGCTGGTCACGCGACATCTATGTGGAGCACGTGTCCGGCACCCGCCAGTACCTGGCTCCTTCCCGTCCCTCGGGAGATCTTCTCTCGACGCCTCCAAGAACGGTTCGTCGACGCTGACTCGCCGAGGAAAGAGCAGCGTAGGATGCGGCGCGTCGCAGTTCGAACGTTGCGAGTGTCGCGTAATTTATTCTTGTGTATTGTCTTGGCCTCCTCTTTTTCAATCCAGCAGAGAGAGCGGTCTAATGTCCAACTATTTATTTACTTAACTGTGATCATGGCGCTACTCGCCTAGGTTATTGTATATATATATTTTATTTTGTTTTGTATTCCATTATATATTAATTGAATGTTGGACGGGACCCCTCTCTGCTGATTTTAATTAATTATTTATTTATTTATTTACCCGGTTTTACTTCTGTAATCTTTTCTGTTTCTAGCTATGCTATTTTATCTCTATTTCTTTCCTATTTTCTATTTCTTTCTTCCTGACGTAATATTGTACTCTTCTATTTTTATGTTATTTTTAGTCTTTTATATTTTATATTTTATTTATTTATTATATATTTATTCTACTTGTTTGTGGGGCCCTGACTGTTCGAGTGTGTATGCCGCGTTAGATAACTATTGTATTTGACACGAGTGTGAATGTGCGCGTTAAACATTATTAATTTTACTATTTATTATATTAAATTGCGCGCGCTCCTCCGGGACTTTTATATTTTTGACGACACTACTGGGATATCCCGGAGGAGCAATTAACTGTGATAACGTATCCTCCCAGCTTGCGAGCTGGGGGGATGACATATATGTGATATATATGTGAAGG